ACTTCCACTTTTGAAATTTTGTTCTTATACATATCACACAAAAATACCTTAAATTATGTATTTAACTTGGTTACCATTACTCTACGAATAGCTTTGTCTTCATTGCTCTATTTGTCTTAAAAAATCGTTTCCGATATTCGCTCTTTAATTTCCTTATTTCTAGCATCTTTGTCAACGAATTTTTATAGTTAATTAATGACAATATTTGATATAATGGATTTTATTGTTGAGACTCAAATGATCCAAACGTAAAATTTGGGGCGGTAAATGAATCGCATCGAGCGCAACAGCGAGGCGTGAAATAAAAAGCTCATATCAGAAGCTGGTCGAGCGGCGGCGGCGGCGCGGGCGAGCGAACAGGATGTGAGACTGGTCCGCGCACACCAACTATCGTTTCGTATACACGTACACACACAGCCGTGCGCGGCCTCGCTGCCGCCGCTCGCCGCTCACGGAAATGTGCGTGCCAACGGAGCGCCACGGTTGCCACACACAAACCATTATATGGGACACGATGGAGACAATCCTACAACTGCCCTGGCTCTGCCGTCCACATACTCAAAGTAAAGATGGAGATTGAGAGAAAAATTACGATAAACATCTAATGATAATTGGCATGCATTGTACGTGATGTTGGGACGCAAACCTACTACCGACCTGGTAAAGTGTTGAATAATGACAGGAAAGATGAACAAAGCAATATAATTATTTCTTAACCTAATTTGAATGCAAATAAAATTATCCATAACTCAAATTTTGTTTCTACCAAAATCATTATCATATACACTGTTGTGGTTGAAATATAACAATAAAGTAACAGGACTGTCCTACTATCGGAGACTTTCATGGAGAACCATTCGCTGCCTTGGCTCTTGCTTCGCGAACACAATCCAACGCCGAATTCGATCGGCCAGTTTTTTTTTTGCTTCATATCTTTGCACAACTTATAAACAACTCATATAATGCATGGAAATATCACTAATTAAACGAGAAAGACTAATAGGGTTATTAACAAAAGTAATGTACAAAATTGAACGTTCGATTTCAAACAAGGGAAAGAAATAATGAATGCAGGATTCTTTATCTATACGAGACTAATCTCTAATCTTAAAGCCACAACTAGAACGAACAGGTCCGCGGAACACCCTTCGTTCGAATGAATGAAATTACCGAGCACCGATCACGTGCTCTATGGTGCTCAAAGGAACGTTAATGGTTAATCGGTCATTCAATCGGCGCCTCTCGAATTCGATATAGCAGATTAACGACACCTCTTCACGGTCTGTTTATGAATGAACGACAAAAAATACTATGTACATCGTGTCGTAGTAAAAATCTCACACACGTCTTTATTTACACATTTCAACGATCATTGTTCTCGTATTGGAATGTATAAAAATAAATGCAAGTCGAATCGCATATCAACTCGACTAGAATAGTATTCTGTATACGAATGGTAGTCGCTACGTGAACAACTTATTTGTAATTCGGAGCGTAAATATCAAAAGTCAAGAACGCTTAACAAAACGTCATCAGACAAACGGCTTCCGACAATGGTACTCCATTGGAACATTTTGTCGTCGATACAGGCAACTATAAAATAGCTTCGAAACGCAAAACTTTAAATTATTAAACTGTAAAAGACAAAGAATGCCTGGGAATTTTATAGTAACTGAAGATATTATAGCATTTTCTGTCAAATATCCTTTCTAATGTCGTTTCGCAGTAGAATAGCATGTTTTCTCGTACGCCCCGTCCTTATAAAACAGTTTATAGTTCGTTATAATACAGCGTTTGGCGTAGGTAGCTGTAGCGCTAGATAGAAGCTACGCGATGTTATTATACCACGCAGCTGTGTGAGTGCACGTGCAACGAGCGCGCACACAGCCGCGGCGCCCCTCGCCTG